ATTGTTTATTGAAAATCACTCTAGAACTAATGCACTGTATAATAAATTACATCATAATATAGCTCAATTGTTCAGTATAATTTACTTTGAAGTAAATTATGGTTTTATTTGATAGCACAATGATTTAATGATAATAAACTTGTGCCATGCATCTTTTCCATACAAGTTTGTAAAGCCTCAGAAGATTGTAAATTTTATACGACCATGCTATATAAGGCTTTCACTGATCACTTCAATGAAATTCCAGAACTTCAATTTTTAACCTAAGCTTAATCTTCAAACTTATTTCTTCAAAAAATGGTAATGCTTTTAAAGAGATATTTTGTCTCACTATTTATCATGTCAAACTCTAACTTACAAATTAAGTGCAATATCACCCCCTTTAGCTAGGCAAAGTGCAGCAACTCAATATGGCAATCAGTTCTAAAAGTGATTGAAAGACTACTGGAAAAATGTTTTGCTAGCTGCCTACAGCTCCCAGATATTTGTAGTTGCATGATTTTGCATCTGAAAAGACCTCTCCACCATATTGCATAAATGCTCAATTGGACTGAAAGTTGGGTGAACTTGGTGCCACACTGTTTATCAGAGGACTTCAGCATGCTCTTCAGATCAGTTCTGGGAAATATAGTACTGGAATTCTTCTAGAATAAGCCATCCTTTTGCAGGTACATGGAGTTCATAAATGGGTGCAAGTAGTCATAAATGTAGCAGTCACCAGACAATGATGCACTTAGATGGACCCAACCCATATCATTTGAATATACCCCACATCATTATAGAAGCACCACCAGCCTACATAGTACCTTGTTAACAACTGGGTTCTATGGTGCCACCAAAACCCTACCATCAGCTCAAAACCAATAGGACCATGACTCACTAGACCAGGGTCCAATTGGCAATGTTATATGCCCAGACAAAGCGCTGTATCTGAAGTCATAGTGTTAACTGGAGCATTCTGCTAGACTTTTCCTCCCATATTTTATGAAAGTTAAAGAACATTGAACTAACTTGCTGAATATACATCTAGTAGCTCTTGCCTTGAATGTGATTTTATTCTGTTACCAGACAATTCTAGCCAGACGCTCCTGCTTACAATCATTAAAGACTTATAGTCAGTCCCGGTGCTGTCCACTATTGGTGAAAATTATTTCCATCAGGCTCTCCTGGCATAATTGAAGTGTACAGTCAGGGATGTCAAATGTCTCCACAGCTTTAGAAATGGAATGTCCCATCATTCATGATCAGGCCCATTCGCATTCAAATAATTTGCATTGATTTATGATGAACAGCTTAGTCTATGATTCTGTTGATTCTGACTCCCCAGATGTCCAAACACAACTGATAGAAGTCAAGGTACCACCAATCATTACATTTACATGCTACTATCTCCTGACTGACTTTTGGCACGTTGGTGTAAATCAATTTTTTTTTTTTTTGTCAGCCAGTACTTGGCATTGAATACTTTGACATGTATAATGTAGGGTAATATTTTTGCTTTTTCTATAATATAAAGCATTTGCTGCCTTCTCTATTCAAAATTGTGTGGGAGAGGGAGAAAGATAGAGGGATCCTTAAAATTCCAGTCAATCTCGTTTTGTACAGTTTTCTGATTCACCCAAGCATGACCAGATCATTTCCTGGTCAGGTTGTAATGAATGGAAAAGATCGCTTTCACCTGCCATATCACCTTCCTATCTTTAGATAAAGACATTTTAGTTGTAACAAAAACTGTGACAAATAGTATTTCCTGTTTCCTTTTTTTTTATCCATTTTATTAGTTTCCCTCATCCAATTTTTCAACTTTGGTATTGAACCCTGTGGTATTTCCTTTGAGTTTTAATTTTATTTTAAATAACCTGTTAACATTGAAAGAGATTTCATTGTAGTGCATGTTGGTTATTCCACTTTATCTGAATTTTAAACAATACAATTTGTACTGTTTAGATTTCTTGTGCTTCTTTTCTGTGAATCCAAGCTGTCACTATTTGATCCTACTAGTAAGAGATTACTGATTATAATACTATTATAACATTGGTGGTTGTTCAAGAGACCAGTTTCCTTCTCTTATGCTGATCCTATCTGCTTTTTACTCTTTCAGAAAGAATCTGAAATGATTTCATATATATAAATAGTATTTTTATTTCTGAATTAAAACTTCAGAAACTTTTTTTTTTTTTTTTTTTTGTGAACTTTTGTATATTGGCTTTTTTATCCATATAAATAGGTTCAATGTTTTGGAAATAGAAATAGAATATCCTTGACAGGATTAAATAAAACTGAGATTCAAATGAATGTATCTTTCTACTCCAATGAATCAACAAGAATTTGTACTAGACATTGATCTTTAGCAATCTAAACTTTAAAAAAGTGAAAAGTAGAAAAAGTGGCTGAAAGGGGAAAACATAAACAATCATGCCTTTTCTTTTTTTTTTTTTTTTATTTCATATATTGTTAGATTTGTTGTAAAAAAAAAAATATTAACATCAGGATAACATTTTAAGTAACTGGCTTGTTAAAGTTTTGTGAGAAAAAAAATAAAAATATATATAAATAAAAAGAAAGAACAGAAAGATATATAATCCGGTGTTCTTATAGATATTTTTATTTTTACAAACTAGTGCTCAATATAAATTTACAGAGCATTAATATTATAAATTAATTGATTTAAAATATGTTTTTTTTTCGCTACACAGTTCTAACCATGTTTCAAAAATGGAAGCTAAAAGCCCCGAATTTAATTTTGTTATTAAATTAAAGACATTTGTTCCATTTCATCCTCAAGCGAATTTTGGAGTAACTTTGAGGATAAAATGGAACTAATGTCTTTAATTTAATCACAAAATTAAATTTGGGGCTTTTAGCTTCCATTTTTGAAACTTGGTTAGAACTGTGTAGCGAAAAAAAAAATAAACATATTTTAAATCAATTAATTTATAATATATATTTTCAAATTCCGTTCACAAACAAAATTGGCTTTTCATTGCCTTATTACATTTAGCTATTATTAGGAAATTATTTCTTACATTTTCACATTAAGTTTGTCTGGACAGTTTAATAGAAAATTTCTCTTTTATTAACAAAACTTGAAATTGCTGAACATTATTTAGTGACAGAACAAATGTAAAGTTAAAATATTTTTTATTTGTAATATCTAAAGTACCATGAAGGAATAACCCAGTGTTCAAATCTTCAACATTTTTGTTTGGTGAAGACCAAAGCTTACTGTATAATCTATAAAGATCATTAAAAAATAAGTATATATTTAAAAACCTTTTAATGTCTTTATCAAAGAATAAAAACTCAGGTTCATGCATTTGAAGTATTGTTACTAAGAAGAAAGTTTTGTTTTTTTTCTTCCTCATTTTATGGTGTTGTAATTATTGTTGTGATTTGTACACAATATGTGCATTTTTTACTTGTATTAAAATATCTTATTAAATATAAAATTATAGATGCATCTGTATTTGACCCTGTTTTTCTTTTATCCTTAAATCTTATCTCAGAGTTCTACTCTTTCCATTGATGTAGTTTTTTCTATTCTTACCTATTTCCATCTTGTTGTGGACTAATGCTATTATTTTTCCATTTCTCATCTTCATTCCAATTGGGCTATAGATGTGCTGAGTAAGTATTTTTTTTTCTTTCTTCAAAATGCCATGTCCCTTCAGGATGTAGCATAGCTCTCCAGATTCCTTTTCTTTATTATCTGAGATTTGCCATGACCTTTTGGGAAAGATGGTGGATTGGTTTCCCATTGCTTTCTTCATGGTCTTCAATTCAGAGTTGTCGTCTGCTTAAACTGGCAGTTATCCAAGGCTAAAGAAACCAGTTAGTCTATCCTGCTATTTAATTCTCTAGCTAGGAGGAAGAGATACCAATTCCTGTCTTTCACAAACAAAGGCATTAGTATAAAATTGAATGCAACAGAATAGAACTTGAACTCTGTTTGCCAATCCCACTTTTTGTGGCAGTAAATTATGCTACTTGCATATCCTAAACAAGTATGACTTTTCTTTCTCCTTCTTTCTTTCACTCTGTTTGCTTGATATTTACCTGCTTTGACATATAGGATTTCAGCCCAGCTATATACTTACTACTGTCTGTTATATGATGTCCCAAAATCGGAATCTCAATGCAATCTTTTTCAAGGAAATCCAGGAATTATCAGGGAATTTCATTCAATGATTTGACTAGGAACCCAGATAAATTAACATTTATCTCTTATGTGTTCTCAAACTAAAGAAAAGAATTAAGTATTTTCCAATATGTAAATGGTTTTGTTTATATTCCAAAGCAGAGTTTTTAATATTGAAACATCATTTATACTTTTTCTTTATTAGAATCTTTTCAGTATTCTGATATTTTCTTTTACATGAATTCTAAGTTGATCTTAAATTTGATCAATTGATAAATAAACCATATTATTTATCACCATTTATAAAAATTGGTGAAGCACCAAATAACTGAATAAACTTAAACAAAGAAAACATTGATAACTGAATTTATTAACACTTTAAAATTCTGTTAGGTCATATAAGTGCAATATGCAGAAACAAACAAAACTCCTACAACTTTATTTCCAGTATTATTTACCGAACACAAAGATGTTTTGTTCCTGTCTACATTTCTGTTGGTCTACTTTGAATCACTGAATAAGGCATTAATTATTTATTAGGTTGACCTTAGCATCTTTCCTGTCTTCATCATAACCATTATCAGCTTTTTGTTAGCCTGCATTCTGATGACCTTTTCAAAGCAAACACACAACATACTTGATGGCTTCTGCAGAATATTGAAAGCATTTCATTTTTATAATTTTTATGTTTTTACAATACATTATTATTATTATTAGTAGTAGTAGTAGTATTGTTTCCCATCAGTCTGGGATTATTTGTTAATCAATTTTAATGGATATGATCTTAGCAAATGGAAAAAAAAAAAAAAACACCATTTCTACTGATCTAGTTTTTGGAAACATAATGCAGTATTCCAGTTTTATGGCCACATCATGTTGAAACACTGGCTCCCATGTGATTACCAAAGTTAAGCAATGTTAAGCCTGGTCAGTATCCAGATGGGTGATCACTTGGAAATACCAGGTGGTATAGTGAATGATAGCTTGGAATTGTTATTTGGAGAGCCAAGTTTCAATTCCCATTGGGTTTTTTTATATTAACTTACATTCAAACATCCTTGGGAAAAGTATGAATCCACCTCTACTCTCCCAGCCATGAGTTAATTAGTAAGACTTGTATCACTAAAAAGCATTATCGTAAAAAAAATTCCCTGACTTTAAATAACATGCAATGGGTTGATAAGCCATAAAAAAAAAGACAAATGAAAGCAGTATTTGAGTTGGTTAACAATATATATATATATATATATATATATATATATATATATATATATATATTTTTTTTTTTTTTTTTTTTTTTAAACTAATTTTATTATTGTATCTATAAAAATGACAAAAGAATTTATCAAAATAAAAAAAAAATACCTTGTTTTTATGTACAAATTCAATTGTTTGTAAATGCCAGGTCTCTTCAAGACGTTGGTGATCATGGCTCTTCACAAATTCCTTTTTTTTTTATTCTGTTGTCTTCCTGTTGCCTGCTCCATGGTTTTAAATTCAGTTTTCCTTCTTTTGTTACCAAATGTTAAAGATACCAGCCTAAAAAGAACTAAAAAATAATTTCTTGTAAAATATGAGTTTACTAAATTTATTTTGTAAAAAGAATGCTGAAATAGTATTTGTACTGATAGTAAATGCTCTTAATGTTGATGCTTGCCTGCTAAACTTTTAAGGTTTTCACATTGATCTTCTATACCAGTGATAACATTTGTTGAATGTCATATCCAAATTCTGTATTTAATATTGAAGAGGTGCAAATGTAGTTGATATTAATGGTTGTTTCTTTGTTTTAATTTTATTGCTACTACAATCATTCCTTACTTATCCTGTTACCTTTATCATTATTCATTATTGTTCCTACCTTTATTACCTCAGTTTTTTGCAGTATTTTTCTCTAGTAATATTGTTTTTTTTTTTTTTTTTTTTTTTATTTTTAGTACTAAACTATGAATCTATTCATCTGAGATATTCTGAATGCATGTGCAGGTATCGGCTTACAAATGAAAAACTGAAACAACTGTATTAAGTTAATATGGCTTCTTAAGAGAAAGGGGAATCTATTGGGACACTTGGGGAGGAATTGAAATATGAATGTTTGGCATCTTATAAGAAAATTAAGGAAATTATTTCTTTTTGACATTATGTTAGACTGAAATGTTGCACATTTATTTACTTTGCTGGCAAGAGTTTGTGGTGAAATAACTCTTCAAAAGGGGCTTTCTGTAAAGTTCAAAATGCTTCCATTGGCTATTGTTAGTACCATAAAGAGTTACCAAGATTTTCTAAAGCTTTGTATGAAGAGATATAAAATAAAAAGAAGCATTTTTCATGAATAGAATCTGCACTTATATATATATATATATATATATATATATATATATTATATAATTTTTTTTTTTTTTTTTCATAAAACGAATGTTTTTAAATCTATTATACTACCATAAACATTTTATTTTTAATTACTGTTATTTTTTTGCTTGTACTTATTTTCTGGAACGAGATCTCAACTTTTTTGCATATAAAATTTAAATAGAACTTTTAGAAGCTCAGAAGTTTCAGAAAAAAAAATGTGGTTTTATTTATTTTGAAAATTAATGGTACTAATTATTTTAGACAAATGATACAGATCAGCTCAATTGCATTGTCATCAATTGAGAGTAAAAAGACAAATTTTTTTTTTTTTTTTTTTTTACCACCAAAAAAACAAAAACAAATGAATGAGGTGATGCCCTCCCTATAATTATGGATGTGGCAAGTAAAAGGGAATAATAAATAAAAGCATTCTCTTGTTTATTTATTTTTCCTTATTAAAGGAATTAAATATTAAAATATCCTAGGTGTTAGTGATTCCCAAGCTGTATGCCACAAAATGAAATTAGATGTGCTGTGGAAGTGTTTAGAGTATCATTTAAAAACAAGAAAATACAAACTGAAATTCATAATATAGTTTTTATATGACTGTTAGTTATACATGGAATTTTCAAATTTATGTGCAGCTAAAGTACACAGTATGAAAAGTTTGAAAACCACTGGTATAGAAGATATTGTCTAAATAGATTTAAATGCTAACTTCAAATAAAATGAAGCAGAATTTTTCATAATTGAGACTTCCAGGTGTTATAAGAAAGTTCTTGTAACACCTGGATCTGTTTGAAAAAGTTTGAATCATCAAAAAAAAAAAAAAGTCTCTGCTTCTATTCTAGGTTCATTAATTGTAAAAACTTAATTGTCAGTCAAGTGCTTTCTAAATAAATGCAATTTTGTTTGCCTCTTCAGGATTGCTAGGATGTGTCTTATTAACATGGTTAATAAAATATTGATCAGTATTAGAACTTGAAATAACAATATTTATCTAAAAATTGACATATTTAGCTTTGTTTTTTTTTTTAATTTAGCCAGAGTGTGTGAACATTGTAGCTGAAAACTAAAACGTTATAAAACATCTGAGATGACAGATTCTCTTGTAGATTTTGTCTTGCAAACATTTTCACTCCTGGAAGCTAGTAACATCTTCATGATTCAGATGTCATATTCCATTCTTTACAGCTAAAGTCTGACAGCAATCTGCCAGAATGCATCTTTATTTTTGCTGCTATTGATATAGATTTTCTGTCTAAATATTTGGCTCCAAGTCACATTTCTGAAGCACATGGTACTTGAACTCTGTATAAAACAGTCTCCCTTCCACTGTTCTTTGAAAAAATGTTATTGTTCTTTTTCCCCTACCTTGAGATACCTTCTAAATTATCATTTCTCAATTGCCTCCTCCACCCATATTTTTTTTATGTCTAAGTATTAACAAACACATAAAGGAAATATAGATGTGTTGATACTAGCTTTTCCTGTTCTTTGTTGAAACCTCTTTGTAGGGACCCCCTGCACCCCACTTCCCAGGTCAATCTTTTTTTTTTTTTTTTTTGTTATAGAATTTCCGTCTTCCACCCGCTAAAGTAAAATGATCTATCTATTTAAATCTGCTGTATCTTTCTCACATTTTTGTGTACTCAGTTTTCTGAACAGCGGGGTACGTAATAGTCATGATTTCGAATATAGATTGGTCTTCCTTCTTTTTCAATTCAATTTTATTTCCTTCTCATGAGAACTGATTTCATGCAAGCCTTTTCTTTTCCCGTCGGGGTCAACAACTTTATTTTATTTATTTATTTATTTTTTAGTCCTCCTCCACTGACCATGTCCAAACAGTAAATTGCTTTCACTTCCTCCTTGTCCACTAGTCTTTTCTTTGCACAGGGTGATGGGTAGACGGTGATAGGTACAAAATGCTAATGTCCCCGTGTGAACAAATGCGATAAGAAAGTGTGTGTGTGTGTGTAAAGAGAAGCCTGTCACTCAAGGCGGCCTTTTTGGGAAGCTATTAAAAAAAATTACATTAACAAGAGAAATAGTGAGGGAGCTTTGCCCACACGCACTCTCGTGTATCAGAATTGAAGAAATAAATTTACCGGAAGTGTCTTTACGGTCACATTCTTTTCTCTGTCTCTCTTTAGTTTTTACCTTTTTTTTTCCCCCATCGATGTCGTTTCTCCTGTCTCTAAATGTTTGTGACCTGACACTTCCTTGATACAAAAGCAAAAACACTTATCGTTTGTCTTCTCAACAGTTTTTCTCCCCACCCACATATTTTTTAAAAAGTTATCTACTAAACTACTTACTTTTTTAGTTTAGGTATTATTCAGTATACGAACAAAAAAATTTTTAAATAATATTTAAAAAGCTCTTTTGTAAATTTACTTTTGCAAAAGCACTTTATTCTATTTCCCTTGAACATCTAAGCATGTATTTGATAAAATTGCATTTTTTGACTTTTGTTACAAGGTGATATCATCTTGCCTTGATACAATTTCTCTCTCTCTCTCTCTCTCTCTCCCTCAAAATTATTCCTGAAATTTAAACTTTTTGAAACGACCCCTTTCTTTCACCTTGTGTCTAGTTTCCATACCTCACACTCTAAAGAATAGGAAATTAAAAAAGAACTGACATACAAGAGAATATTTTATGGTGAAATAATCATTATTGCAACAGAATTTGAAATGTTTTTTTTATGGATCCAATTTCGGCTTAAAGAACCTAGAACTGTTTTCTCCATAACTTTTGATATCGTGGGAAGTGTCAGTAACAAGTTTAAAATCAAATTAAATTTGTTTACAATGCACCCTACCATCATTAAATATATTTTCAGTGAAAACCAGCCAAAAACATACACACCCACACACTTCTAATCAGCAGGAGAATAATAGGACTTGAAGTTCCCTTCTCTCTCTCTCTCTCGCTATTATTAATAATTCTATTTATAATAAGATTCTCTACCTTTTCATATACTTTCATTGTATTTGATAATGCCCGTATATACTCTTCTTAGTCTTATAAATAAGCAACTAATCATGTCTAGACATTTAAATGAACATCAAAACTGAAATCAGCTAAACTCTACAAATATTGATTACTTTGTCAATATGACTGGTTTCTATTCTATTTGTGATGCAACTTTTGTTGCAGATTGATTAATAAGAAAAAAAAAATGTTATGATTGCTTTGTGACTGAGATAGTTGCCTATTTCCTATGAGTACCTGAGGTCTGTTTTGGAGCCAGGTGAAAACAGATTTTTTTTTTAACCTAATTTTCATAATAGACATACCTCACTTGGAAAATTAGAGCAACATATTTTTCCTATTCTTATCCCTATTACTTGGCCTTGTGCCAAACTAATCATTTGATCTTAAATGTACATATTATTTACATTACTTAAAATGTCCTTCTCTTTATGATCATGTTTTGTTCATTGTGTTCTCCAACCTTCTTCAGGTATCCATTGATCCTGGCAATCTTCAAGGGATTTCAAACTAAACCCTTTATTCAATATACAAGAGTAAATTGTTCTCATTCCACTGTCCATGTAAAGTTAATTGTTCACTTATTTTTAGTTTTCATACCACTGAGTATGAATATA